GGTGATGACATGGCCAGAACATTAAAGTACCGACCTTCCACCCATCCCATCCACTAGACCAACGATATGGTGATGACATGGCCAGAACATTAAAGTACCGACCTTCCACCCATCCCATCCACTAGACCAACGATATGGTGATGACATGGCCAGAACATTAAAAGTACCGACCTTCCACCCATCCCATCCACTGGACCAACGATATGGTGATGACATGGCCAGAACATTAAAGTACCGACCTTCCACCCATCCCATCCACTAGACCAACGATATGGTGATGACATGGCCAGAACATTAAAGTACCGACCTTCCACCCATCCCATCCACTAGACCAACGATATGGTGATGACATGGCCAGAACATTAAAGTACCGACCTTCCACCCATCCCATCCACTAGACCAACGATATGGTGATGACATGGCCAGAACATTAAAGTACCGACCTTCCACCCATCCCATCCACTAGACCAACGATATGGTGATGACATGGCCAGAACATTAAAGTACCGACCTTCCACCCACCCCATCCACTAGACCAACGATATGGTGATGACATGGCCAGAACATTAAAGTACCGACCTTCCACCCACCCCATCCACTAGACCAACGATATGGTGATGACATGGCCAGAACATTAAAGTACCGACCTTCCACATTCCACTAGACCAACGATATGGTGATGACATGGCCAGAACATTAAAAGTACCGACCTTCCACCCACCCCATCCACTAGACCAACGATATGGTGATGACATGGCCAGAACATTAAAGTACCGACCTTCCACCCACCCCATCCACTAGACCAACGATATGGTGATGACATGGCCAGAACATTAAAGTACCGACCTTCCACCCACCCCATCCACTATACCAACGAGATGGTGATGGCACTGGTGGGAATGGTTGAGGTTGAGGGATTTGTGACGGTGGCCATGAAGGTATTGACAGGTGATGGCTGTGGTAGTAGAGGTGGTGTTGAAGATGATGGCAGCGACAGCACTGATATGATGCTGTTGTCTGTGATGATTCTGATGCACCCCCAGATTACATTGCTCAATGTTCTATAGCCAGATGTCATTGATGCAGTCAGTTCATTTCATTATAACTCACACAAGTGTCAGCCAGAAGCAGCTAATCTTCCCTTCTGTCACCAGACACTTCTTCTAGATGCTTGCTGTCTGGACATTTCATCAGATTAGAAGACAGTATAGATGTCTGTGGTCACAGTTCTTTCGCACTAACAGGAGGTTGAGTTTGTATTTTATGTGTGCTGCACATATCTCTTTGAAACTGTCGTACAAAAATAGATTTCATGTCGCACAAAATGTTCAGGAGTTCAAACTGTCTGTTGTTGTCCTTCTTTAGGTATGAAAAAAACCAGTCTGCTGGATCGTACATCTTAACACTGCCACTAAAATCTTGACTTGAGAAAGCAAAGCTGACACATAGGTGATGTTTAAGCTGGTTAGTGGGCTTCAAAAGAAAGCCTAAGAGCAAGGGAATTAACTGAGACAAGTGGGTTATAAATTTTTGGTCACCCAATGCAATTAGATGAAGTTGTTTCCTTATAAAACATATTCTTTCTGAATGAAGCTGATCTGTCTACTCTCTTGATCCATACAGGATTTTTATGTCATTTCTCCAAGATGTACCAATGTTGCTGAATGTGGCCATGTGTGTTTTCATGAAAGGTCTGCTTAAAGAAAATAAGTATTTTCATCAATAAAGTAATGATTCAAACAGGGAAACAATGAGAACTTGTATGTCATTTTATACAAATTCAAGGACATACAAGCTATTTTGGTGCTTTTCAATGATTTTCACAAAAATCAAAACTAAAACTCAAACAATTTCAAGCATTGTATGAACCTTTCAAATTAAAAAATTTTCATAAAGCAATACTTCTGTTCATACATTGCTCCTTTAACTTAGATGTATGAAGAGTACTTTCATCAATCTATCAGTGGCATGTGTGAATACCATTAATCTACAGAATAACTCACTTTGCAACAATTTGCATGAGTGATTGTAGAGTTTCTGCTCCAGTTGACATCCTCTGCAATATCCCCATAAAATATCACTTGATGTCGGCACTGTGCCTGTGCATACAAGCATGGGATGTACCAGCAATGCAAGCAAATTGCTATAAAACGTTATCGTTTGATATAGGAATACGGCTGGAGATAATGTTCCAGACAACTAGGTTTATTGATCAAGGCATGTCATTGGCATTTCCTCCTAATGCAGCAAAGAAGATGCAGAAGATGCCATTCAATCCAAACTTTCAATCCAGACATATACTTTCTGGGAGTTAAAGCCACAGCTGTTTTCTTTAATGTGGTTAACTTTCTGACCTTATGTCAAATCCAGGTACCCAGAGATGTAAACTGACTGCCTTCACTTAATATCCCCAAAGCTTTCCTTCTTCCATGGGACAATGTGAGTTGGTGAGTTGCTGGGTGAGTGAGTGATTGAGTTGTTATGTGATTGAGTCAATCTGGTTTCCTTCTGCTGCACCAATATTCCTGCTGCATCATGGCAGCAAAGGAAACCAAACATCATCGGCTTCACACTATACCTATTTGAGAACTCAATTCAAAGACTAACCCAGAAGCATTAGGACTATAAATATTGATTCAATACTTTTGATGAACTTGCAGAAAGATTATTTTCTTTAAATGTCAATTTCAGACAGCATATTATGTCTGTTTGCAAAACCAGTTTCCCAAAAGTATCACTAACAATATGCTTCTATCAAATGTTGAAAATATGACAGGATTTCTATTAACTAATGATCCACAACTGCAACAAGAATTTCCTTTTGTCATCATGTTTAAAGTCATACCATTTCTCAATGTTACAAGTCCTCATCACCATTTATGCAAGATGCAATTATTTGATCGTGGTAAATACCACAAACAATAGTCTTCAACCTTCCATCTTCCTGCCAGTTAAGCACATTCTTGACACCCCTTCAGCTCTACATACACCTTGTTTACGTGAAAAAGGTATCAGCACTTAATGGAAGCACAGATCACAGTATTTTAATTCCAAAAGCACTCTGTCTCTTACTTATTCATTGAAAAGCTCCAAATAAGAGTGAAAAATATATCTAATCTATGGTGAATTAAAGCCCGAAAGACAATCCCATGGTTGCATGTCAAGTCAAATGTATCCTCTGGGTATAGTCCTACTTTTAGAACATGCATATTTAAATGTGTTCATAGAAGAGCGTAAAATTTGGTGCAATTACACAGCATCATCTTACCAAGGAAGCTAATTTCACAGCCAGGAATTCCTATTTAATTACCTTAATAGCGATTGGGATCAATAAGGATAATTTTAAAGACCCTGGTCTCTACAAATTGAAAAGAGATAGGGATGAAGCCTGCATTTGGGCAATTTATAGGCTGCCAAATGGGATGTAGTCATGCTGAGGATTAAGCTGCGGTGTCCTGTATAATCTGCATTAGCCTTTTTAATCTTTCAAGACTTTTCCCGCCATCAATTCCACATTTTTAATTTGCTTTTCCATTTCTGACTACAAAAACCTGAACAGTGATAGGAGATTCATGGAGGTGTTGTGACCATTGTGTATGTATGGGATTAGATTGTGTTATTCTCTGTATGATGGGCATGCATCAGTGTAGTCTCTCACAGTCCCTGAACCACTGTCAAAGTATATATATTTAGAAACTAAGCATAAGTCATCCAGTTAGATGCTTCACATGAAGAAGGTGCATATATAAGATGAGAATATGGATGGCAACTTCTTTATAGTATAACACAATGTTTCTGGGCTACTTCTTGCCCTTCTTCAGGTGATAAAGACAGGTGTAGAAAACATATATACCAGATTTACCAGACAACAACAAATGAATTTAGAGGAATTTGTGTATAGAATAAACTATATATCTCTTAGAAAGAGTTGCAGCAGCTGTAAGATGCTTCACTCAATGATGGGGGCTCACAGGAATAAGGGAGCAGTGATCTCTTATGAAATAGGTAACCACTGACAATGATGTCACCAGAGATCCTTCCCTATCAGTGTATCCATGAGGTCAGGACACTTATACATACAATCCTGTACATGATAAAAGCATGAAACTTACAGTAAGTTAATACCAGGTGTTCAAACAGAAAGAGTGCATGTCTAGACCTGCAGTCTTAAAAATAAACTTTGTTAACTGACCTCCAAGACAGCTTTTAAAGTAATAGTCTTGAAAGTCTGTTCAGGTTGCCTCCACTTTGTAATGAAGACCTGGAAGTGTTAACATGTGATGCCTTCACTTCAGAAGTTTTAATGTTCAAAGGCTTTTAATTCATTATGCTTTGACACCGAGAGCTGCATGGCCTTGAAGTTGCAATAATTAACCTTTCCGAGGCTGGCAGGCCAGCTATATTGAGTCTAGCAACTGTGTACCAGGTCATACATCTGCTTACTGCTGGGACACATTTGGTCAAAACGTGTAATTTTACAGTTTGGAAAACTCTAAGACAATTAATTATTATTTGCCAGTGATAGTGTCACTACTCCCCTGTGTTATGGTGGAGTAGGTCCCCAGTGCTACATGTTTGTTGAACATTAAGGGGATCAAGAGACAGACAGTGTTGTGTGCCTGGAATTATTTCACAGGGGGTCAGTAGAAGATAATGAAACCTGACTGGCCAAATACCCTTGGCATATGTGTTAATGTTCACTTTCCATTGGTGTATAGTAGTTGCTTGAGTAGGAGTTGAAATCAACATGGGAGTTGACATGCGACTTGAAATCAACATTCAGCAGATGCTGACATGCCCAGGGGAGAAAACTCCCCACAGTAAGTCCTGATACTGGTATCTTACATCATTGGGCTATTGCTGACAAATGAACATCCTTCTAAATTTCTACACAGCTTCTGCAATAGTGTCTTTACTAATATGATATTTGTATCACCTTGACACTAGTATCATAAATGATAATGCAGTCAACATGATAAATAGATCAACAATGTACTTACGCAGGTGCTCTCCCTTGTAAATCAAAGAAAGTGAACCGGATTTTCACTCTTTCTGTTGACCATCCAATGAACTTGTAGATACAGTGTGAATTGCTGGGGTAATTACCGGTTATTTTCGACTTTGGGGAACGGAATGTTCCATTTTTGGAATTGCCATGACGGCTGGACACAATGACATCACAGTCTGAAATGGAGGGAAAAATAAAGTTACATCAGAACAAATATACAAATCATACAGTATTAAACAAGTTTGTGAAAGTCTGCCTATTATGGCTGAAAAAAAAGTTACTCTGCTTTACAAACAGAACTGTCGAGTAACCCAGAATACATCATCACACCCTTACATCATTTACTGTCACAAAAGCCATGATATTTGTCTGTTCCAGTTACTGGTATGCCTATTCAACTATTTAACCGAACTGACAAATTTCAGCATTCAACGCAAAGCTTAAAAAGCAAGCCTTTCCATTAGTTCCAAATTCCGGAAAAGTAATATATTGCACCACTTAAATGTTCACTTCAAAACGTTTCTGGAAAACAAAATGTTTCCTCTTTTATACAGGAAACATTGCAAAGAGCAAGTTCTATGAAACAGACCTTACTTAGTTTTAGGTTTCTATCAGAATGATATTAGTTTCTTGATATTTAATTATTTGAAACACAAATGACCAGAAAGCTGATACTGACAACCCTTGTCACAAATTCAAATATTCTGAAGTCACACACATTATGTGAACAATTGTATCAGTTGTGGTCTGTTTGTCTGATAATACAATCAAACAAAATGTGCATTAATTGACCAAAGGAACCTTTGCAGTGTAAATATTGCAGCCGTCATTCTACAATTCATTAATAACATAACAGACAATTCCTGTGTGAAAAATGAAATTAATAGCAAAGTTGTTTTTGTCTGTTTTGTTCAAGAACTGCAGGATCCCACTTGGAGTTACTTGATATGCAAACTTAATTAAAGTGCAACAGTATTATCACAAGCAAGTTCGATTTTATCATCATGGTGATTATCATTAGGGGAAGAATCAATACGGTTGAAACCAAAACCTTGTTTTCAACGTCTAATACCACTCGTTAAGTTTATGATGTGTATGTCAGATATTTCAAAAAATCTATTCCTGCCTGCTGCAATGTGGCATAAAAAGATTAATTTGCCCAACGACGTAATACAGTTTAGTAAATGGAAGACAATTACCTCTGTCTAAATGTCAGGGAACACTGTTATTGCAGAGATATCATAAGATCTACTGATTGGTAGTGAAACTGACTGCAAGCCAAACAATACCTTGCGTATCACAGAGAGAAAAAATGCCTATGTAAATGTGGCTTTAATCATGGTTTTGCTGATTAGCTAAGGAGATGTTTAAAGCACAGAAAATAAAACCTTGTATGAAAACAGAATTAATCACCATTTCTGATGCTGGCTGTGACAGGTTGGCAGTTTTTGGTTTCAGATATATGTGTGTGGTGAAGACTGAAATAACCTCAGGTTTACTATTTGTGGACAACTTTCCTACCTCTCTGTGGGAGTGATGGTGTCAGCCATGATTTATAGGGGACCATGTTTGTGAACATGCAACCTTTACCCGGGCATCTAGAGTGATAATGTTTGTGGAAAACTTTCATGTGCTATATGGAGTTTGATGCTTGTATATAACTGCCTAATGATGTCAAGAGGTACGTTGTCCAGGATTCAGTTGGAGGCAAGAAAACTGTCTATTTGATGCAGATTTCATAAAAAATAGGTTTTAATTTTACTGATTGCGTCAGTCATCCCATATATTGCTATAAAAATTTGACACAATATTGTTGGAATATGATATTTTAAAATAAACAAGACTGTTAACAAATAGGAAACTTCTTTTGAATGACTACAATGAAGGCAGAGTTTAATCATGTTATACAGGACTTCCAGCCACCTCTAGCACACAAATAGCCTGCATACATAACAGACAACAGTGATTCTGAACACACAGAGGTACCATCCCTACCCTGGGGTCATCATGACTCCCTGAGTGTCCAGAGCTGGCATTCAATACACACAAGCCACATATCTACCTGTAAGATCTCTTTAATTGCAAACTATTTTTCCCCGCAAGGTCTTATTAATGTACAATAAATATCAAGAACTGGAACCTCTACTATAATAATGAAATATGTTGTCAATACAGTCAGTACCACACAAGTTCTGATGACAGGACTGTTTATATCCATGCATCCTGTTCACTGAGGCAAGACACCCTCACCAGCGAGTGGCATTTTTAGACATTGTGTAGCAAATGAGATTATTGTAATAAACAAATTCATCATGCATACTACACTGTCATTAGTTAATGACAACATTCAGTTGCTTCTCCCCAAAGTCAACAACAGCTTGTTAATGAAACTTGTGGTTTCTACTTGTAGAACAGCACTTGCTTACCCATTTGAAGAACACCTGGTTTAATCACCGACTTTCAGAGACCTATTCATGTAGTTTCCATCACTATTTCTCCTGCTGTATGGCAGATATTCCTCACTGATTATCCTGATGCCGATGTTTACAATTCTTTGGGCTCTACTAAGACTGATTGGTGTTCCACAGTGTTCTTTTGTTCATGTCACAGTTAACATGTGTAGATGCACATGTTCAATAAATGATCCTTTTAACCTCATTCAACAACTATTGTAAGCAACATTTTAACAATTACAGAGTAAGTAAATACATTTCTACTGCCCAGGCATTCTAAAAGGACATAACTCAATCTTCTCTTATCCTAAAAATCATATGAAGTTATTAAACTGTCAGCATTATTTATATGGGCTTATTCTTATTAAATAAATCCATTATTAGATGAAACGCCACATGAGATTTTGCTTTAGTAGGCACAGGCCAAAGCAATAAATATGGTTCCAAAATAGAAAAAGCCCAATAAACGAAACTTGGAAATGCCATTTTTATGTAAAATTTCAGAAGATGCATTAACATGAAGGCCCACAAGTTTTATTTGGAATCACTATCAGAATTATCATGACTAGTACTTCATATGTGGATGTTTGCCTTGCCTTTGCATGTGTTTATAATGGATGCCACTTGTGTTACATGATGCACTTATCCCTTGATACAAACACTATTAGAAAGAGATTCGTAGACATATCTTCATGACATAGTTGGACTTATAACACAGACTGCTACATCTATTGTCACATCTATATATATTAAACCAAACATGTCTACAGTACCAAGTAATAAGTAGATCTCGCCAGGTATACACAACATTTTAATCAAAGCAACACCCAAAGCACATAGTTTGAAGGTGCTAACAAATTCTGGTGTCACCTATTTCTCATTAATGTCATCATGCAAAGATCGTATGTCTCATAAATCATGTCCGCAGTCCCCATTATATTCTTTATATCACGTCTATTTCGCTCACTTTATCCCATGAAGCTGTAATGATCACCCAAATCAAGGACAATCCAGGTGAATTGGATCCCTATTAGTTACAGCTTGATCTTCAAGGTATGCCTGTCCTGCTCATTTCCATGCCATGTTATTACACATACCCTGTCTGAATGCCATTTGTCTTCATCATGTTGATAGGTTCGACACGGTAATGAGAGGCTTTATTATTTGTCCACACTGTTGCTACTTGCTAACACTGATGCTCCAGCAGCAGCAGCAGCAGTAGCTTCACCTGTAGCATTGTACCTGATACATGACACCTGGACTTCACATCCTTTCCCTAAGATGATTATACTCTGATTAAACGGGTAAATAATAGGTGAACCAGAAAATCCAATAATGTGTGAAATATATATGACACGTCATTCCTCATGTTAGGAACCCAGTAAAAGTACAGTCAGGTTCACTGTCTGGTCAGTAACTCCTGTCTACTTGTGTGCCATCATGACTGCATCACTGGATAAGTGAATACAGTTTTACACCTTATTACCAACATATTCAATGCCAAGGGGTAGAAAACAATAGCTCATAAAATTGGTCTGAAAATGAAGAAAGTCTCTTGGCTCCTTTTCATTATATTTTATCATTATTTTTATTTACTGCTTTTTTCTGTAAAATATGTTCATGTCAGAGACTAGATGCTAGTCTAATATTGTGGTCATATGTGGGTAAAGAACCACATTTTAATGAAAAGCAAATGCATTACCCACAAGGAAACCCCATCACCTGATCGAGTGGCCCAAGTTGATCAACTTATTCAGACTAATTCTCAAAGCTTCCAGGTAGCAGATAGGTTGGTAGAAAGCAGACAGTGAACAGTTTTTGTTTTTTTTGAAATTCTTCAGAGTCTGTTAGACATGTCTTAGAATTAAATTGAGTATTGCAGCGACTATGAATCTAATCTCCAAAGTGATTTCCCTTGACAAATGACACACATTTGGACAACAACGAGGAAAAAACTTAATTGAAAGAATATAGAATTTACTGTCATTGACAATACAGGTTCAATTTTCAACATATGACAGCCAGTGTTGAATTTTCAACTTAATTGCCACTTGCTTGTCACAGCAGCTGCAGGTAAATTGCCCCTGGGTTTGACATATCGATTTTGTTCATTATTTCGGCACTGCATCCTCCCTGTCAGTCAGATGCCTAAATCTACTTAACACCTATTTAGGATTTCAATCAATTTGGTCCTCTTTTAAACTTTCTGAAATAGTCTTCATTATTGAGAAGTATTTGTGTGCAAGTGGTGTACAAAGTCTGTTCACAGCCATGAACTCACCCTTGCTACTGCCTACACTATTTCTGAAACTTTTTAACACGTCTTTCAACATTTCGGAACAAGTCTAAATAATTATTGCTGCAAAATACTATGACATATGGAAATATAATAAAATGTTACTTTTTAATCAAATGAAGGAAATGTATTACCTAGACAACTGATTTTATGAAAGTCAAACTGTCATACGATGAATATTTCTATGATTCTTAATTAGTAACAACAATGTTTACTACTGGAGATAGAACATCAAGGAAACTACATAGATCAGGGTTGAATAGTTCAATAATGTAGTTTTATCACTACATACATATCAGAATCTCCCTTCACACAACTTCAAAGGATCTTGAGTAGACTTCTATAACTCTGGACTTCAGGCTAAAGGCATCCTACAAAGTGTGAAGCCATTGTTTGCGTCCCTGCTTGCATAATCAATCACCTAGTA